GGAACACGTTGCTAGGAGCCTTCCTTTATTAGTGCAGTTCGAGATATTTCCTTTCTCAAACAGACCTGTAATTGATCCCAGTAACCATTTGGATAGAGTAGGTTCTCCTTTTTAGTCTCGTAATGAACCATGTCGAAGTCTGGTAGCTGAATTGGCTTCATCAACGTCACCGCCTCTTCCATCCATCGTAGTTGCACCTGCAACTGATTATATTGGACTTTCATAGCACTATATTCCACTTCTTGGAACGTTTTCATCGCTTTCAGTGCTTTCAAATGGCTACTAATAGGCACAAGTTCCAGTAAGTATTCAAACGGAGATCAGGCCGAGCAAAATTCAGTACAGTACTTTTAGGTTAGTGAGCTCGATAAACAGTGGCACTCCACTTGGCGCAGTTTGGTTGGGTAGGGGCACCAACAAAACACTCAACACTAAACGAAGCTTGTGCGGGCCGAACTGTGAAGACCTGTAGATTCCTGCAACCAAAGTCGTTCTTTTGAAACATTTAGCAGCTTCACCAGAGTTTGCGAGGGGTTCTTTGTGAGACTTGTCAGTAAACATGAGCTAACAGAAAGAACTAATGAAAGTCCAACACAATCCCTTAGACCGAACAGGGCCAAGTCCATGTAGGTCCGGGTGCGCGAGCCTCATACACGACAGGATTGATAGCGTCATAGCATGGATCTACCCATTTCTGAGTGGTTAATGACCAGTTCCCTCAATAGGGGACTCCCATCGATGATGTACTCTCTTTCAGTACTGTTCGGTCTTGAAGCCCACAAAATCGTAAAGGTTGAACCTGAAAAAAAGACAAAATCTCGCCGAGAACTCACCTCTTCAGCATTATGACTGTATGACTCCAGGATGAGAATACAGCTCTGCACATCAAATGGAAACTGCCGCAAATCGAGATTGCACGGAGATTTTACGGACAGACGATGATTTATCCATACCGTACCATTCTGAAAATGTCGTTTTCGTCACTTGAATCACGCTAAGACTTCCATTGTTCTTTCATTGTTTGGGGACAGTTCAACACATCCAGGCCAGTGCGAAGGTGGTAATAGAGTTGTTGCAAAGAGGGCCGTTCGGGGTATGCGGCAAGAGAATCGTAATTCGCCGCGCCAGGACGTCGCGCTCGCCAATGACGACGATTTTAGGTGGTATTGGTCGAGGACAGATGTGTGACCGAAAATAGACCTCATTGTCTACCATTTCCCTTGTCTACATGAAGTCAGATGCTCCAGTTGAAAGGGTAGTACAAATTGAGGAAAAGCGCGCCCACTGCCGCGCGCGACGCAGCAACGAATCACTATTCTCTTCCTCGTCTCCCGGGCCGTTCGCACCAGGACTCAACTCAATCAACGTTTAGCCGCCATACATGGACGTAAAACTGCGTTCAGCTACAAGATAGATACCTTCATGGTTTCCTCGATGCCGCACCCTAGGGTTTCACAAATCTCAACCCCAAAGGGTTGCATCATACAGACGCACTGACAATGAGTTACGAGGTGTGGGGTGGATTGCTTCAAGTGGAGCTGCTAGCCATGCTCACGGTCCGGGTGGCAAATCCAGCGTCCAATCCCTCCTGTTGCGAATACGCCCTCCAGTCAACCGAGGTCAGTCAGTTGTTGGAAGAACTGTCTAAAAGGATAGAAAGCTAGACTGTACATAGGCTTGTATCCGTTAGTCACTGCTCAGGCTAAACCGCATCCCAAATGTAACAATGTCCCTCAGTGGAAGTAGAAAGCGCGGCGCATTCTAAAAGGAGACCAAAAGGAGCCGAGATTTTCGATTTTTTTTCTGTGATGCTGATCCCTTGTTATTGCACGCCTTTTACTACTGCGAGCCATGACGCAGTACTCACTGATTTTTCGTCTTTACTCTTCAGCCCGCTCCCCAGACCCTCTCCCAATAACTTTATTTGGAGCCTTTTCCATCAGCGTGGTCCCTGCATCTTCAATAAATGTCTCTCATCAGAAGGCGTCATTGTGGCCGTAGTGCAACCCCGTTGGGAGCGCACGTTCATCTCGGAAAGAGATTGGATTACATCATTCTTGATTATTACGTCTCATATCGCCTCTTACTTTGCATGAGACCAAGCTAAATGCAAAGTATGACGTTGCAAGGAAAAATCTCGGCTCAACTGTTTTTACGAATGGGATCCGCAGGACCCCTGAATTGTCTAAAATTCTTTGCAAGCTGTGAAACACTTAGGTAATGTCCATTGAATAATTCCCGATCTGCACAGCTTCCTGGCCGTGATTAGTCTAATTGCCGACAGCCCGCGTTCATTCGCACCAAAGACGCAATACGCTGAACGAATGGCCAAAGGTCGGAAAAGCATTTGTGCAGACGCGCATGGTTAGGCAATTTTGGGCCCGGAATGGATTAATCCTTGTCGCGTACCTCATAGAGGATTAGCATCACGTTTTCACTAGGCGATGCATGAATCATTGTCCTTTTCGAGTTGATCAGACAGGTGTTGGGCGTCCAGATCCGTTGCAACATGCGTGGCTCCATAGTTATGTTCCTGAAGAAAAGTATATTTCCGGCGCTATTCAAGGATCCGGGAGGGAGGGATTTTTTGGCCCGGGCACCTAATCCATTTAAAGACGTGACAACAATTTTTATTTACCGTTAATATTTGGCAAAAGAGGTTCCTGTTTGAATGGGGTTTCTAGTCGCTTTTCCCAATGCCTCTCGTGAAGACATTTGAATCCTGCGCAGCTACAAGTCCTTCATTCGATGCGCACACGGTTTTTATTTGGGGGGGGCGTGCAGGTGCGCGCTGCATTTGGTGGCCGGTTATGGCAGTCGTTTCTGCACCAGTTTTTGAAGAGAGCAAGGCATTTGCTGTATAATATTCCTTCGTAGATACTGTCTTCTACACTTTATGCTCGTCATACGCCTTGCCACAAAAGGCTGAGAACGGCTTCAACAATGTGCAGCATCCTGGGCTGACACGCCCACGCTCAGCAATATGAAGACTGTATGTAATAACAGGAGTTCCACTTACGCTTGACAAGCTACAGGTCTCACCAGGGTGTGCCGTGCTTTCAACAGGAACTAGCAAAACAAATTACCGAAAATGCAAGATGCCCCTCCCAAGCCCAACAGCGTCGAGAAAGAGTACCCACCTCATTCCGAAGGATATCGTTTCGCAATAGAGTGCATGAAGAATTGGCTTTCCCCACCCTTAAGCTGAATCCCGCGGACACCTGACCTTAATAAGAAAACTTATCGGGTTGAGGCTGTTAGACGATCCCAGCCCACCCGGTTCTCCCTTTCCCAGACACCCTGCTTCCCATCTCTATCTGTGACATTTCAGAAAACTCCACGAGTTCCTCACGCTTTCCTATCACCTTTCCTCACGTTTTCCGAATTCCTTCGAATCTTCCTCCTTTTTCCAGGAAGACTGCCGTCGAGCGGGTTAGGAAGGCAATTTAGAACATGGAAAGGGAGAGATAAACAACCAAAAAAATTTCTTTCGCGGCAGAAAAGTCTGGCAAGACCGAATACTACCCCACCCTCGTTGACCATATGTGCTACTACCTTCCAAACGAATAAACACGTCCCATTCCCCTCCCCCCCCTCCTTTTTTTGTTTATGGGATTTTCCCAGCGATGGTTTCTGCGGGCGAAGGTCCCTATGCCTGCGACTCGCTATTCTTTGCTCGCTCCTCCCAGCAATAAATGCCGTCCAAAACGACGAAATTGTGTCAAAACGAGGCTCGTAACGTTTTTCAGCTTCGGAGACATATTTGTTAAACTGAGAGATGGTGACAACCTTGCACAAGCAGTTTAAGAGAGCAGCATCACGTCCTCTCTCTCCCACTGCTTGCAAGGGACCACTGCTTAGGACCCCTGCTGCCAAATGTAGGTGGTAAGTAGAAAGGGAGTATTAAAAAAGCAGGCTTAATAACAAAAATATATGTATAACCTTTTGCATGCCAACATATGTGCAAATGAAAGCGATTCATCCCTCCACAGTTGTGTAAAGAGGATATCGATTTCGAAGTCTGACGTGATTTCGTTCAGTGAACCCATATCCTGAAAAAGGAACATTCAATTATTTTCATGAGAAATCAATGACCTTATGGCATCGTAAGCGCAATGGGTCCTCTTCAAATGAGACGAGATTATTCTCGTGGTGAACTTTGTCATTTTGGAATCTCGGGATTCACTTGGCGAGAAGATGCTTTCAATAAGAAATCATAGCTTACAAATCAGCGATACCTTTCATCATTATCGGTCGATGAAGGCGGCAATATTCTGCTCTGGTATAAATAATAAATAATAAATAATAAGATTTTAATAAAATTTTTTATATAGTATTTTGATTGTTAGTTTCTTTACTATACTTTTCTAGGGGGTGACTCAAGGAATAAGAATAGAATGCACTTACGCAGCTCTTACTGTCAACAAGCATTCGCTGCGTTTTAGTTTCACTCGAAAATAGTCGAAAACGTCAATTCTTGAGCCGCAGTCCACGCTCACCGTGTAGGCGGGGTATTGGTTCCCCGGGATTCAATTGGCGGGAAGAAACTTCCGTTGAGAAATTATAGCTTACAAATTAGCGATACTGGAAAGCAAGGATAGAATAGTTCAATATACTCCTTCTTTTATCGATGATGAAGACGGCGATGGGGCAATATTCTGCTGGAGAGCAAATATACCATCCACTCTATCAGTCTTAAGTCGCGGTCCACGCTCACCGTGTGGGCGGGGTAGGTCCTTACGCCCGCACTCATGGGAACACGTTGGACCTGACTCGGCCCACACGATGAATCCACTGAGTGTGAGACGATAAATTCACGTTGCGGGAACATGGTCAAGATTAAAAACGATGTGCGCCTTGCGCCGATATTCATCCAACAAAGAAATGCTTGTGAGCGTTGAGTCAACTAGCTAAGAAATACTAACTAGTTTGCATATGTCGTCACTACATAGATATAACTTCCGACACGCACGCCACTGCTACTGGCCCCAGGACTCTAATCTCTGAGGAGCGGTGGCGCGATAATAAAGAGAACTCAATGATGAGCCTGACCCCGCCCATACGCTCAGCGTGAACTGTGCCTTATGGTTGACGATAAATGGACTGACTACATTCCAGTGAATCTAGAACGTCGCATTGGCAGAGATGTCAGCTGTAACTAAATCAAAGCTGAACGAACTAAAAGAGAAAAGAGAAGAGAAGAGTAGAGAAAGGAAAAGAATAAAAAGGGACTTGCCAATGTAACCGAAAATAAATTTTTCTGAAGTTCACCTAAGGAACCGGGACGACGGCTAACAGGGACAAAGAGGACGATTCTTGCAGGACTACAGTGCCGTTGTGAGGGAGAATCTGAGGCAGTTCTTCAAAATGATCTGCAGAGCATTTGCAAACGTGCAAAAATGCACATGAATGTAGCGTATATCTGTGCCAGAAAATGTGCGTCAAGTTACAGATTGCCAGTGTAACTGCCAAAACTACCAAAAATCACCTAAATATGTATGCAGTCATGGTTGAGTGAACCTAGTTTTTCTTTCATTTGACATTTCCGTCATGGTGCAGAGGGCATAGTTCGTTCTGAAGGGGGGGGGGAAGACTTAGCGAGAACTGTACAGGCTGCCTTGTAAAGTCCTGTCAATTCCTTTAACTCAAGTGGCCCACTTTCGCAACTTCACAGGAGTTTACCTGTTGGATAATATGAATTAGCAAAAAAAAGTGAAAGTGCGGAAATCCACCCCCTCCCTCACTAAGCCAAGAAAATGTAGCTTGTCGTGTAACTCACCTAATGAATCGACAGTAAGGGATGAAGCAATTATCTGGGAAAAGGACAACTATAAGCGAAAAAAAGACTAGGGCTCATAAAGGAATCTTCTGCTCGGAAATGCAGGCCTTGAGTGCACCCTTTTCCTCGGAGATCCCAATAATCGCAGCTTTTTTTCAAGCTAATTAAGCGGATTTCCAATGTCTCAACGGCATCTTCTGAAGTTTTTCTGTGGCAACATTCTTCGACGACATCCTCAGCCCCTGGCAAATATGCACTTATCGGTTCATCTGATGACAAAACCTAGTGCTGACGTCCGACTGCACGCTTGATGGCCCAGAATTGGATTCTCGAGAATTGATTTCCTTTCTTCCGAAACAGACACTACGTTCGATTAAAGGACGGAATTTTAAAAGGCAAACTTTTTTTCGGCGATGTTAAATTAGACGAGCTCTTCCTGGATGAAATTTCAGACAGGGGAGCTTTTCGTTCGTTGAACGTCGTCGAATTCTCTGAGTTCTCCAGAGGCTAAAAAAATGAGCCCCTCCCCTGAACTCGGTGTGTGTTGCAGAAGAAAGTCATCCGAAAAGGCTTACTTATGGGAACAGTTTTGAGTCCCTCCTACCTAGGGCTTGCCTCACGGACGCTATCCGGGTTTGTGTGCAAACCTTTACATAGGGGCTTCCGTTCAGCATGCAGCACTGGAATGGGTGAAATGGCGATTTTAGAAATGAGGGGGCGACGCCTCGCCCACAAAGTTTCCCTTTCGCCAGTACGTTATGCCTCCCACACAACCTCACTACGCTCTTACCAAATTCCTCCAACTGAGTACCATTCATCCAGGAGTTCTTCCAATTTTCTCTTAAAAAAAGTGTCGCTGGGAGGAGGCGGCTGAAGAAGGGGAAGGGTGTATGGGAAAGTGTAGTGAAAAAATTCATTAAGGGGAAGAGATTTGTGTACAGAACGCAGCCAAAATTGCCTCTCAGACACAGTACCCTCCCTCTCAACACGACGCGATATGAGTCTTTCAAAACGTAGCTGAACGCCATGCTTCACTTTACCTGCTGTTCTATCGCATGGCAGTTCGTAACTGCAAAATTATTCCACAGCCGTCCAGCTGTTCGATTACAAGACTAGTAAATAAATAGTTTCGCGTATCAAATTTCTGCTGCTCCCTTTTTGAGATGAGGCACACATTCTACTTACATTCAGAACCACGGACGACCCTAATTAGGTTTTTCATGACAGAATGTGCCTTGCTACGAACCCTCTCTTTCAGTAGAGTTGTTGTAGCCCCTTAGTAGAAGTTGTTGTAGATGCACTGTGCCATACTTTCAAACCGAGATTTCAATTTGAGTAGAAAGATGAGGATGCCCCCCCCCCCTACAAAGTCACGAGATCGGTGTCAATAAACGTTCCAAAAAAGAGGGATTCTAATACTAGTGCGTACCGCAGTCGGCATGCACAGTGACCGCCTCCCGAGTCGCAAATTGAAAAGCAGAAAGAGCCGTGAAGTAGCTCAAAGTCACAGGAGTATATATCCACCGATGAATAATTCTATGCCTTCAATTTTTTCACCGTTCGCTCTTGGCTCCAGAGGTGGCTATTAAAATTGATTCGGGTAGAGTTGCTTACTAAGTTACTTCCTGTTTTTTGTCCAAATCTTGTCAGCCACGAGAGGTGTGAAATGAGAACAATTTAAAGACAAGCCGAAGAAGAATGACACTAAAACAGGAAAAAAAGAGTACGCTTGCTGCCTTGTGATTTGAAAATTCAACAATATGCTTCCGTGAGCGCCGCTGTTGAAAATGGCTGTCATACTGGGATCAATAGTCTTCAAATATATGCTTGTAGCACATCTGGTAAAAAAAAGTCGAGGTTCGAAGGGGCGCTAGGAGAAACCTGGCACTGGTGATGAAAAAGATTATCATTCTTCGAAATGAGGAGCGTGAGGTGCGCGCGCTTAGCCGTTCGAAATGAGGAAGCTCAGTGTCCCTTAGCGAGTGAAATTAAGGATAAATGGGCTATAGACTGCTGTCAAATTTGTTGTCGGTATTATCTATCATTGTCATGACAATTATTATTTTAAAACAAGCGAAATGACTCGTATGAACAAATTACTTCAGGCTGTAGAAAAATCACGAGCAACGTAGCATTGGAAATAAGTAGTCGCAGTTGTCCGGGAAAAATCAACCTTGAACTTGTGCATTGCAGGCAATTCACAAAGGGAAGTAAGCTTGTGCACAGCCGACAATGCGCGCAGCGTTCAATGTGTTAGGCTGCGTTCAGACTTACGATGACGCGCGTTGACGCGCTGCAACGCATTCTGCTGAAATAGCGCTCCAGTGTTACAGACACTTTTGAACGGATATGGATTGGCGCCGGCCGTTAGCGTCTTGGGACAGCACAGGAGAATAGGAGAGTACCACTGTGGGCTGACTCTCCTATCCACCTGTGCTGTCTGAAACGCTAGCGCTTAGAATTTGCTACTTACTATTCTCCTATACCCTGCCAAAACAGTAACGGACAGAGGCGGTCAGTGACTACCTATGGCTGCGCTCCAGCTTCTAGCACTGGAGCGCCACCGCAACGGTAGCGCGACGATGCACGTCATCGCTGAGGGCCTCAAAGTGGCCTCAAAAAGTAGGTATGCACATCACTTTCATATCTCATGAGAAGGCGCAAGCGATATGAAATAGCATGGTAGCGTCGCCGCATGACCCCCCTTCCACATTTACCAAGCAGTTATTCCAAGCACATTTCACTTACCACTAAAATTCATAATGAAAATTCCGCCAACCTGAACGTGCATCTCGATCTGTACTTCGACAGCACTGTCTCCCTCGGGAAGCATTTTGGTGTAGTTACTGAATAGTGCTTGTACAATCTGGCCTTCACTCAGCGTGCCTGGCGGACATTTTACCCGTTTGCTTGTGACCTTTAAAGAAAATGTTATCGTTCAGAAATCTATAAACTTTACTAAAGGAAGCAAGGCACATCGTTGTTGGGAATTACCCAATAGGGGGTCGTATTTGGTCGCTGGGAGAGGGGGGGGGCGTGTTTGGAAAGAGATGTGTAAATTTCACGTGCACTATATACCCCCCCGCGCTAGACAGCAAAAAAAAGTGGTTGGAAGTGGGGATCGGGGGAAAACCCAAGAAAGATCGGGGGAAAGCCCAAGAAAGAAATGGTAGAAAGGGGGGGGGTCGTACTCCTCCTCCCTCTCAGCAGCTTGATGCCGCCCGACATTCGATACGTTCGGTTGCCAGAGCGTTTTTCTCCGTCGCGAATGCCGTATGACCGATAGCTTTCGTATCGTCTTTACTGAAAGCGTCTATGCTCTCTTTACTTCTGGACTATAAATTTATTTCCATCTTGTGTTTCAGAGTAATTGTTATGGTACGCTTACGATGACACCTGCATTGCTATTCGCCTTACTGTACATAACAATGGTAAGTTGATAAGAATACTTTTGACTTTGGTGACTGAACCCTTTTGTCCCTTCCTCAGCAAATGACGACAAATACATTTGAGCCTATTTTCTTACGATACCAGTTCTTTGACTCACCCTACGCGTACTCACCACATACGGCCTACCGTACTCTTCCCGCCTTAAACGCACGCTAAAATAAAATTTGATTAGTTCAGGCAAAAATGTAGTAGAATTCTTCCCATTAAAAGAACTCCATTTGGGACATTCTGTTGGCAGACTTGCCCGTCAACTGAATTATTGATCGGCTGGCTTTATCGTGTCATATAGTGCAGTCTTTCGGATTTTGTATTCGGTCGTGAACCGGCGGCTAATGCCGGTTTGGACTCCAAGAATTTCGGCACCGAGCTCATTTTTAAATTGCCTAAGTCACCAAATCTGCTAAAAATTTGTATATAGGGGTAGTTTAACATCCTGATTAAGAATATGTCATTCGCTCTTGTCGCTGGCGCTAATGGATGACACTACGATTATCTGCGCTCTGCTAAGGCTGAGCTAGGAGGTG